CAGAAAGATTCCGGTGCCCCCACCGGGACGCGAACCGGCAACCTTCTTGCTGCGAGGCAACAGTGCTACCAACTGCGCCACCTTGCAGCCCCATCTTAGTAGCAAAGTGTATTAAAAATAAAAAAGTACTTGTTATGTATATTATTATATAATATACCCATATATACAGCAGTATATTTTAAAATATTGTATCATTTCTGAAATGTCCTTCATGCTGGCTCCGTTAAAAACCATAAATCGTAAAAAAAAAAAAAACAAACAATTTTAAAGTTACATTTCTCAGATAATTTATACTTTTGAAAACTTAAAAAACCTGAAATCAACATGTGTTTTTCCAAGTGCCCACAGGTGTTACCAATTCTAAAATAAATAAGGTGTCTTTAGAAACAGCCTGCAGGTCAGCAGAAAAGTCCCTAATTTATTGTTACTTGACTGTGGGTTTAAACTAAGTCATTGATTGCTTCACGGCTGCACCAAGGAGTGAAGAATTCTTTGTTTTTACAGAATCTGGTTATAACGAATGATTTGTTCTTGGCAGTTTAAAAAAAAAAATTGACATGGATAATAAAGGCAATTGATTAAGTATAATTCATTTTAAGCTTGGATTTAGTTAAGCTTATAGATGAAATTGCACTTCATAGAGGAATAGTTTAATGACACTAGAAAATAGTTTTCACATTTTCTGGCTCAGAAGCTGTTTTGGTGATTTTATTTTATTTTTTAAGATAAACTTCTTTTTAAAACCTGCCGGCACGTTTTGGGGTTCAGAGGTTTAAAGAAAAAGCAGATGTTTTCAATATATTTTCAATAATCATGTCAACAAAGACGATAACTAATCAGGAAGTGATCTACTTAACAAGCAGTGTGTTGGCAAAGTCTGGTGCAGCTTATTCCTGTGTGTCAAACACCTTCACACTGTTGCACCAACTACTAGAGCAACAGAGCATTGAATGTGTATCCATTCACACCTAACAGATGCACCGTCTGCCTCAGTTTGAGTGATATTTGCTATATAACTACAGTGCCTGTCTGTTTTGGGAAAATTCTGAGGCTTTTAAACAGTTAAAGTGTATGTGTAGGTCTTGTTTTTAAAGATTTAGATCTTCAAAAGGAATTATTTGATGACACACCCATTTGTTGTTAGTTTTGGTCTTTTTATGAAATTTGCTGACAATATAGAAATGTAGAATGGCACCAACAACAACCATCTTAGTCTGTTTCTGTACACAAGAGGCTAAAGCAGCAATTAAATCTTTTTTTTTTGTTTTTTGTTGTTTTTTGTTTTTTTAAGTTGATCATATGTTTTGTGTGGTAAATGAGTTCACACAAGTGTGAAATGTAAAGTCTCTCAATTATAACCCTCCAGAAGCTGTAAGTACCTCCAAATTTTAGCACAGTGTTTTAGTGAATGTACTTAGGGGTAGGGTATTTTCCACCACGGTTATTATATAGTATCAGTCCACTCTCCAGTGCTTTGAACCTCTCCAGGGTGCAGCAGTTTCTCTATTAACAGAAGCCCCTGGTGTACACTCCAACCGCACCTATTATAGCCTCCCCTCTGGATGCAACATGCCCTAACTACATACAACACATCGCTACTTATCAGTATTCAGTTTTCATATGAAGCTCCTCAGCAGTCGCTGGCCTAGATAATATCTTGCGGCTTCAGTACGTTCAGACTTCAGAGTGCCTTTATTGTGTACCTTGACATGTCTTATTATCATGATTCACATCACAACAATATTCTGTGAAACTAAGCTGCGCTGCATTTGCCCACAGCCATCTTTTAATAAATAGCTTTTCCTCTGCGAATGTGTAGATCAGCGTGGGATTACTTATTGTGCATTTACAGTTATAGTTAATGAGAAATAAAGCAGGTTTGTTTGAGCTTTGTCACCTCCACATGCATTATTCTCTGCCTTACGTGTGTGCGTGTGTTTCTGAAAGAATACATGTGACTCTTGCGCATGTTTCTGACGTCTGCACGATGTAATGTTGGAGGAGTGCAGCATGACATGCAGGAAGATCCATTGGAGAAACAGAGTGTACTGAATTTCTGATCAGTCGATTAGCATAATATACAGACAGGATGGACATGAGGGGAAGCGGTAAATTATTCCTTCATTCAAGTGAAAAATACAGAACTGTATGTCTCTCGGCTGCCTCCCCTCACTCTGGTTCGCTCAGTCCTGCCTTCTTTGATTTTCTCTGTCGCTGCTGTATATTACACTCCTGCTCTCTGTGTTTGTCTCTCTTCAGCCCGGGGCGCTCTCCTTCCTGCTATGACAATGAAATAGTGATGATGAACCATGTCTACAAGGAGCGCTTCCCCAAGGTCAGCCTCACACAAACAAGAGTGTAAACTGTACCTCCACACACACATGCAAACACACATAAGCAACATGCATACCGGCAAAGGCCATCTCTTAGCTGCATTTAAAACTATTAGTGCATTCATTTATTCAGGGAGACTCATTATTTGCAAGAATCAGATGTTTCAAGTGAGCAGCTGATGAGACGTTAGTGCCACAGGGGGTGACCGTGCACACAAAACAACTAGTAAACAAGCTGAAAACTACTCCCAGGGATGCATTTAAAATTCAGACAATACATAAAAAGCCAGACTTAGTTTCCTTTATGTTGGAAAGAGTCTTTTCTTTCTACTTTGAAAAGTCAAAGTGTTGTAGTTGCAGAACATTTGTGGATGCAGCAACAAAGTAATACATAAACATAGACAGAAAAAGTGTTGCGTTAAGATACTTCTTCGCCAGATGGGGGTTTTTTTGTTTGTTTTGGAAGATGTGCTTGAAGAGTTTCTGGCATTCCAAAAGCCAGATACAGAAAACTCTGTAGATTAGTGGCTAAAACGGGATACACAATCTACACTGTATGTATACATGTTGTTTTTATCGCATTCATAAAGCCACATGCACAGCTGATTCTGTTTTATGCATCTTAATCAATGCACAGGCTTAATTCACACTCCCACAGTTTGCCATAAATTCATGTAGAAACACTTTTAAACAAGTGTTTATGTATCAATACGTCTCAGCCCCTCATTAGACCTGTCAGTTAAAACAACGTATAAGTCCATACACTGTGCTGCACTGCTGTATATCCAGCACCAGAAGAGCTGTTGTTGTGCGACAGTAGCTATGTATGTTGCTCATATGACAAATTAATCACATGTATCTATAAATTGTCTTTGCAGTGATATCTAAATCAACATTAATTAACTTTAAACATGGTCATTGGTTATTTTTTAAAGTGAACTCATGCTGTTACAAAACTGAATACTCAATTGTATATTCATTCATTCAAACAGGAAGTGGTAGCTAAAATGTGAGAAGAATGATAAAATTCATCCTAAATTGTTTAAAATTTTGGTTTATCCTTTGATTGCCATTTTATTTAACTTCTACAGTGAATTCAAATCATGCACTTTACATTTTATGTCTTCCTTATGGCATCACTTGCAGCTTTCTCTAGACGACTGTGTGTACACCTGATCTGAAGTCTGCATGAAGGACACAGATTCTCACCACACTTTCTTTTAGAAATAGCAGTTTGTATGTGAGAAATAGCATCTCCATGGTTTTTGTGCACACATATATTTTAGACATCTGGCCTCAGCTCTCCACTGGGATGCAGGACCGAAAGAGCAAAAAACAATGTTGGCATCTTTCTTACATTTGTTGTGTGCAGGTGTGCAACAGGTCAGCGGATCTTGCTACAGTAAAAAGGGTTTTACTGAAGACTTTGATGTAGACAAGTGCTAGTTTACTCTTGGTTTTTTACGTTAGTGTCAGTACCTTGAATGTGATGCACGTTGCTGCAGGAAGTAAAATAAAGTCAGAAAAGCTGCAGTTTGGATTGGTTGGAGGCAACAGTGTCATTATTCTGAATAAAAATATAAGCTAGCAGGGCATCGCATTAACCCTCTGTATCACAAGCAATTTCTGGGCATTTTTGCTCTTGTCACTGTGGGATCATTTTTCATTGCAATATAAATTCCTGCACCTCTATAGAAACAGCACAACCATGGGTAGAGGTAGAGAAAACTCAAGTATGTCATTTGTGCAGTATGACACAACTATAATACCATAAATCATAAATAAAGAACAAAGTCAAGTTGATTTTTTTTGCCGCATGACAGTTGCTCATAGCTGAGTCAGTCACAACTTCTGGATTGCATGGAGGAGCAAAGAGACTTTTATTTGTTTTTTTTATTTGTTTTTTTTTTTGTTTTGTTTTTTTTACAGAATATGCTTACTGCAAACGGTTTATTTAAATGATGTGGAGAAATGTTTTTTACCTGAGACATGCAGAATAACAGAATTTTGATGAAATATTGTGATTTTAGGCTTGGATTTTGTTACATTTTCTGACATCGCAGATGACCATATGAAGTTTAAAGTTTGACAATTCTTCCTGTTTTTGCACTTTTTGCCTCTGATAAATGCTGTATTTTGGTGATTTTTTTGCCATTCAAACTCACTGGTGGGTTTTGGGTTTCAGAGGTTTAACCTGGTTTGATGCCTGAAGCAACTTCTAAGATCCAGTAGGTTTCAAACAGACTTTCTAAAGAATGAACTCTCAGGAGACCTGCTTTAGGAGGAGTGGTCCAGCACTGTGTCCAAACCACATACTACTGGTTCGCATTTTCTTTTTCAATTTCTCAAAATTGTACAAATCGGTCAAATGGAATTTGGGATCACACAGGCCCAAAAATCACTGTGGTAACCCATTTCAAGTTGTATATTACAGTGTGTACTATCAAAGCATCTTGATGTGATGCCACCACGGTGGACCAAAGCTTTACTCTGGTGACTGTCAGGCAGAGTGCGCACCCGGCCATCTGGAGCAATTTAGGGTTCAGTTTCTTGCCCACAGACACTTTAACATGTCGTCAGGAGGAGCAGATCAGACTGTCAACCTTGTGATCATTTGAGGACCTGCTTGACCTCCTGTGTCACAGCTGAGCCGTAATGTTTGCCTACAGCATTTTACACGCCATCACACACCTATCAGACAGGGAGAGTTGTATTTGTCAAATCTGGATTTATTGTTCTCATTCCTTAAAAGTTCAGTGTTTTTGATCAAGTGCACACTGTGTCCTTGTCTGCTTGTCTTTAGCGGATTATATTTTCTCCCGCTGCTCAAGTTGTGATTAGCTGTGTGCTCACAGATTCCCTCATGAACACTTCACTTATACTGAGCAGTTATCTCTGCTCTTGTTACTCTGAATGAGGCTTACCACTCTCCTCTGACCTCTAACATAAACACAGCCTCCAGTCAGAGTGAGTGGCCACTGACATTTTATTCACTGCATGGTTCTCGTTAAGCTGTTGACACTGCCACAGGTGAAAAGTCTCAGGAGGTCAATCACATCTGCAATCCTTTTCCAGGCCAATTTGTAATCAAACATACAGCCCAGCCGCTCAAACCTGTTTTCATGTGTTGCACACTGAGCCCTGGATACGTGGAGAAAAATCTGAATATTTATTAACAGAAAGGGGTGTGTGTGAAAATGTATGTCACACTGCATGCAGGTGTCCTCAAACACCTGCCTGCACTCTCTCTCTCTCTCTCTCTCTCTCTCTCTCTCTCTC